AGTTAGTAGTAGTAGTAGTAGTAGTAGTCGTAGTCGTAGTCGTAGTCGTAGTAGTAGTAGTAGTAGTAGTAGTAGTAGTAGTAGTAGTAGTAGTAGTAGTAGTAATACCGCGTCCGCAGCCCAACTGTCCAAAATTTCTCCAGCTGCGCAGGCACCTCTGCATAGAGGCAGCCTTTTAGTGACGTGCGCAAGTGTTCCCCCTGTGTCCAAAAAGGTCTGCGCCAAGGTCTTCCTGAGAGTGCACCCGGGGGAATGCTGGGTGCGCGGAGGCATTCCGCCCCAGAGTCCACCTGGAGCGCTGCAAGGCGGCATTCTGTGCAACTGGTCGGACTGAGGCAAAACACTCCGCTCTCCGTCCTACGAGGTCTCGTAGCTGCGCGCTGCATTAACGTGCGGCGGTTGGGAGATCGGGCGGGGTCCCTACCGAGTTGGGCGCCTGAGAGAGCCCTCTGAGCGCGTCCTTGGGTCGAGCCGAGGTCCCCCGTCTGCAGAGCATGATGCTGAGTCTGTTCCCTCTCCCCCGCTCCTCCCTCCTGTCCCCCTCCCCTTTTCCCTCTCTCGTCCTGGTGTCGCCCCGTGCTCGTCTCTCTACTTTCCCCCCCCTCCCTTCTCCTTGTATTGGGGCACCTCCGCAACTATGCTCTGGACGGGCCTGGTTCTCCCTGGATGGGCACGGCGGAGATCGCCGTCGGTTGCCGGCTCCGGCTCCGTGGCCCCTTCGCTGCCAAGGCCGGCACGAGGCTTCAACACGCCAGCCCCATCGGGGGCGTTCCCATCCATCAACCCATCCATCCATCCATGCATCCATCCATGCATGCATCCATGCATGCATGCATGCATCCATCCATCTCTCTTCTCTCTCTCTCTCTCTCTTTCTCTGCGTCGTCGTTCCTCCTTCTCCCACGCTTCCCTTTTCCACCCTTTCCCCTCCCATCCTCCCCTCCTCGCGTGTCTCCCCCTTCCTCCCTCCCTCGCCTGATGGACCTCTCCTCCCCTCGTCGAGTATATTGCCCCTCTCCGCCCCTCCGCATCGAGAGCGCGAGCGCAGGTGGCTCCGAAGGCGGACCGGGGGCTGCGACCTGGAGCGCTCGAGGCGCTCCCGGGACGGATCGGGCGGCATGGGCCCCTGCGCCTCGGGGCCGTGCCCGACGAGCCCCATCCCCCCCACCCCCTCCTCCCCCGCCTCCTCCTCCCCTCCTCCTCCCCTCCTCCCCCTCCTCCACCTCCTCCTCCTCCTGGTCCTCCCACTCCTCCTCCTCCTCCTCCTCCTCCTCCTCCTCCTCCTCCCGAGGGGCATCGGTAGGGGGGGGACCCGCACAGGGAGGGAAGCATCGACCTGGAATCGGCCATACGTCGCCGATAGCTGAGATCGGCGACAGGCCCCCGATCGTGAACCCGCACATGCCTGGGCGGGTTGGGGTTATCGGGCCCCTGTCGGCGGTGAGTGGATGACTGGGAGTCGATGCGCCACCCCCCCCTATGCCTATCCCCTCCGATCATTGCCCCTGACCACCATCCTTCAGCTCGCTCCCGAGAGGTGAGACGAAGCCAGGACGAGGATTAACTCGGGTGAGAAAACATCGAGAACATCTGTGAGATCTGGCGGCTCTGGAAGAGGTCTCGGGCGCCGCGGCCTTCTCAGAGCATGCCCCCCCACTCTTGAGCTCTCTGAGCCATCCCACGGCGCAGAAGACTTCTCAGAAGGCCCGAGGGCTTCTGAGAAGCCCCGCCGCTTTCTGAGGAGGCCTTCTTCTTCTGCTCTCCCCCCGCTCGCTCGCCACCGAGCCAACCTCCCGCTCGCTCCCGAAGCGCCCCCTGCTCTCGAGCCGCTCCCCTCCCCGCGGGTCTCGCGCTGACTGCCGCGTCCTCTGCCGCCCCCTCCTCCCCGCACTCGGCCCCGGACCCTCCACTGCGTGAAGGACCACGACGGCGCGGAACAAAAGCACGTTGTCGTCGTCGTCGTCGTCGTCGTCGTCGTCGTCGTCGTCGTCGTCGTCGTCGTGGTCGTCGTCGTCGTCTTCGTCGTCGTGGTCGTTGGTCGTTGTCGTCGTCGTCGTCGTCGTCGTCGTCGTCGTCGTGGTCGTGGTCGTTGGTCGTTGGTCGTTGGTCATCGTCGTCGTCGTCGTCGTCGTCGTTGGTCGTTGGTCGTTGGTCGTTGGTCGTCGTCGTCGTCGACGTTTGTCGTTCTCGTCGTGGTCGTCGCTTGTCGTTCTCGTCGTGGTCGTCGCTTGTCGTTCGTCCTCGCCCTCGCCGACGTCGCCCGATCGATCTGTGAAGGGCCCCGAGGCCCAGAGCGCTGCGAACAGGCCCAGTGTGATCAATTCAATATTCGGACGTCGCGGTCATCCCTTCTCGTCGTCCTTCTTGTCCGTCTGGCACTCTTCTTTTCTTCCAGGCGGAGGCTCACCATTATGCGTGCCAGGCTGCCTATGGGACTGGCCGCAACAGAGCCCAAGCGCTGCGCACGAAGGCTGGGACCCTTCCATATCGTACTGCTGCTGCTCTTCTTCTTCTTCTTCTCCTCCTCCTCCTCCTCCTCGCCCTCCCCTCCCCCTTCACCTCCTCTTCTCCTCCTCCTCAGCCTCCACCTCCGCCGCCTCCTCCTCGTTCTCGCGCTTCTCCTATCTCCTTCCTCCTCACCTTCTGCGCTGCCTCGACCTCCCTGCTCTCCTCTACTCCCTCATCCTCCTGCTTCCTCCTGCTTCTTCCCGTTCCCCTTGCTTCTCCTGCTCCTCCTCGCCACCTTCGCCGACGTGGAACATTGATCCTGACGGGCCAATCTGTTGTATCACGCTCTACAAATGTTGTTGGGCTCGCGCAATTTTCTGATCCTTCTAATGCCTGTAAACTGCTGGGCACAGCTGTCGAGGGCGAGGCCGTGTTGCTTATGGGGCAGGTCGATGACATCTCTCGAGTGCGCTGTTTTCGAGCATCTGATGCCGTCGCTCCCGAAGGGTGTGAAGCGTACATGAGTTGACAGGGTATCGTAGCTGTGGGGAGGTCAACGTGCATCTCTCTCGACAGAAAGGATCACACCTCTCATGCGATGGCCGTCGCCGTTGCCTCTCTCCTCCCGATGCTTCGGACGGTACGACGTCGTGATTTTTTCAAGGCGTGGACTCCTGATGCTCCCGACATTATCACCTGGAGTTTTTTTTCCGTCGCTGGTCGTTTTTCGATGGCCCTGGGGTGTAGAAGCGGTTACCTGGACACCGAGATCGGGGGAGGACGCTGGCATCGAACAAATTACGTCGTCGGCGGTGTGAGTCACTCGTGCTCCTCCTGAAGAGTCGTTGCCCGTGCCAGCGATGGCCGCTGGGCGATGTGCCGCGTCGGCCATCCAGGGCCAAAAGTGCCCCCTGGTGGCCGTCACAGGAATGCTGGCGCGGGCGGATCCCACCTCCTGGCAGGGGGGGGGACAAGAGAGGAGGACGAGGGAGAAACGAAGGGAGGGACCGTACATGGACATTATATTCGAACCCTGTGGCCCAAGATGCCCCTCAGACCCCCCGAAATTAATATTGATGGCGTGGCGACGGGAGGGGCGTGAGTGGACAGAAATATTCGAACCCCAAAGCGCCGCCTTTACTGAAATCAACATTGATGTCGGGGGCGCGGGGGTGATTTAGAATCTCCCTCGAATGTGTAAGGGTTCGAATCTATTGTCCATCTACTGGAGGGGTGAGATGGGAGGATGGGCGTGGAAGGGGGAAGCACGTCTCTGGAGAGGAGCACGAGGGAGAAAGGAAGGGAGGGAGGTATGAGGTGGGAGGATGGGCGTGAAGGAAGGGAAGAAAAACAGGCGTCTCTGCATCTGGCTGGCCCCAGAAACCCTGAACCCCACAAATGCTCACATCTCTCAAAAAGACATCTTGTGCTTCCGTCGGCCTTCCGCCAACTTGCGCCGGCAAAGCCGCCCTCGCTTTACCTATGCAAGCTTCCGTGGGCGACCTTCCGCTGCCTTCCGCCGAGGAAGGGGTGCCGATTTCCGGCGAGGCCTGCTATGGATTGCCCGATCTGTGGCCTCCAGTCCTGCACCCGCCCCTTGGCGCACCGCCAGGTGGGGTACACCGAGAAGGAAGGTACGACCCTGGTCAGGCCTACAGTCAACCCGTGCATCAAGGATGCGCGATAAGGATGCAAGGGCCTTGGACGTCCAATTCGAAGCTCTTCGAGCGGGGCGCGGCCAACGAACGTGGCGAAGGACGGACCGATGGGAGTAAGGATGCAAGGGTGTCCTTGGGAAGGCTGCCCATCCTTATTATGCGGGTTGACTGTAATGTGGATCGAATCGTGAACCGAAATCGGATCGGAAACGGACCGGGCCGCTGGCAAATCGTCCCGAATCGGATCGAGATCGGGTCACCGCGCCTAGCTCCAACGCGCCCCCGCCGATGCCTGTGAATCGGACCGAACCGAATCGAATCGGAATCGCGGCCCTAGCCGGCGGAGACCGAATCAAACCGTATCGGATCGCGCGAGCTCGCGGGCCGCGTCTTCGGCCTGGCGGCACCCCTCCACGGGATGGAGTCAGTCTCGAGGGGGGGCCGTATGCGTGGTGAGGCGGCCCTGGAGGCGTAGCTGCACCCGCGCCTGGATGGCCGACCGCGAGGATGCTGTGGTGGTCGCCTCGCGGGCGCGCCATCGCAGCTCAACCTCCGTCGGCTGGGGCCCAACTGCCTCCGTCATTATGTCAGAGTGAGGGGGCCGAACGGTCATTCACTGTCCCTGGGTGCGTGGCTGAAGTGGTAATCCGCGGTGCGGATTCTCGTTGTTGTTGTTGTTGCTGTTGCTGTTGCTGTTGCTGCTGTTGTTGTTGTTGTTGCTGTTGTTGTTGTTGTTGTTGTTGTTGTTGTTGTTGTTGTTGTTGTTGTTGTTGTTGTTTGTGGTTGCTTGTTGTTGTTGTTGTTGTTGTTGTTGTTATTGTTGTTGTTGTTGTTGTTATTGTTATTGTTGTTGTTGTTGTTGTTGTTTGTTGTTGTTTGTTGTTGTTTGTTGCTGTTGTTGCTGTTGTTGCTGTTGTTTGTTGTTGTTTGTTTGTTTGTTTGTTTGTTTGTTTGTTTGTTTGTTTGTTTGTTTGTTTGTTTGTTGTTGTTGTTGTTGTTGTTGTTGAATATTATTCCTTCTAAAGAATTATTATTGTTGGGACCCCTGGTGCGCGACCTCTGCGCCGCGCCTAGGCCGCAGCTACATTTTCATCATTTTTTCGCGAAAGCTTCAGAAAAGTGGATTGTTACCGGATCCGGTTTTTTGTTGTACTCCGTTTTCCCTTGCAAAAAACACTATAAAATGAAAATTCTTGTTCTTACTTGATCAAATTGCAAGAATCCCTTGCAAAAAATAAGGTAAAGTGGACATTCGTGCGCGCAAGACGAAATCCTTCCAAAACCTTAGGTTTCGTAACGATTTTAACATAAAAACATCAAAAACCCAATGGTTTTTTAAGAAAAAATTGTCAAAATGTCCTTCCGCGCGCGCTGTCCGAATCCCACAAAACCAATGGTTTTTCAACATTTATGTTACATGAGCTCGCGCGAGCTACTTTTTCTTGTTCTAACATAATCAAATTTCAATAATCCCTTGCAAAAAATAAGGTAAAGTGGACATTCGCGCGCGCAAGACGAAATCCTTCCAGAACCTTAGGTTTCGTAGCGATTTCAACATAAAAACATCAAAAACCCAATGGTTTTTCAAAAAAAAATGTCCAAATTTCATCCCGCGCGCGCTGTCCGACTCCCACAAAACCAATGGTTTTTCAACATTTATGTTACATGAGCTCGCGCGAGCTACTTTTTCTTGTTCTAACATAATCAAATTTCAATACTCCCTTGCAAAAAAAAGTAAAGTGGACATTCGCGCGCGCAAGACCAACAAAAAACACGACGATCTCAGGAACTTGCCCCAAAAATGTGACCAACTCCGCTCTCTCTGTCTCTCTCTCTGTCTGCTCTCTGTCTCTCTCTCTGTCTGTCTGTGTCATGTATTGTATGTCACAATTGCAGGATGCTGGGCACACGCGCGCCCCGAATAAGTGACCAAGTTCTGTGGGTGTGTACCCCACGCCAGTGTAGTAGCCACGGTCGTCCGCACGCCACGAAGTGAAGTGTCCCAACGTCATAGGGCGGGAAGCTGGGTTTGGGTGGTCGCGAAGAGTCGTTTGGATATTTGGTAGAGCTTGAACTGCCCCCCCACGAAGTGGGGGTATTGTCTGGCGTCGCATGAAAACCCTGGCACTGGTGAGAACACTGAGCGTTCGGGTAAAATGATTGTTGTTGTTGTTGTTGTTGTTGTTGTTGTTGTTGTTTGTTGTCGTCGTCCCACCCGCAACCCGCCCCGCGCACCCGCGACCCACCCCGCGACCCACCCCGCGACCCACCCGCGACCCACCCGCGACCCACCCGCGACCCACCCCGCGACCCACCCCGCCCCGCGACCCACCCCGCGACCCACCCCGCGACCCACCCCGCGACCCACCCGCGACCTCGACCCCGCGACCCACCCCGCGACCCACCCGCGACCCACCCGCGACCCACCCGCGACCCCCCGCGACCCACCCCGCGACCCCACCCGCGACCCACCCCGCGACCCACCGCGACCCACCCGCGACCCACCCACGACCCCCCGCGACCCACCCGCGACCCACCCCGCGACCCACCTTCGATTCAAACCGCGTTCGAGGTACAAACCACCATTTTCGGCGCCTGCGGCGGGTTTTTTTTGCATTCCTTCAAGGTGGAGAGCCTGCGACCCACCCCGCGACCAACTCGCGACCCAAACCACGTTCAGGGTACAAACCACATTTTTCGGCGCCTGCGGCGGGCATCTTTTGCACTCGTTTCATGGAGAGCCCGCGGCCCACCCGCGACCACGTTCAGGGTACAAACCAATTTTTTTGGCGCCTGCGGCGGGCATCTTTTGCATCCGCTCCCGGTGGAGAACCGCGGCCCACCCGCGACCCATTCCACGTTCAGTGTACGAACCATTTTTTTCGGCGCCTGCGGCGGGCTGTTTTTGCATTCCTTCCAGGTGGAGGTGGAGAGCCCGCGACCCAAACCACGTTCACTGAACAAACCAATGTCGCACAAGCGCGGCAGCCGATTTTTGCATGCCGCCTGAGCCCGCAACGACCTCTTCAAGCCCCGCGCATCCACACCAGCCCGTCCAGCAACTTTGCCCTGGCGAGTTGCCTTGATCAGAGAAGTCGGGGAGCATAACGTGGAAAAACGGATTGCGTTGCCGTTATCATGGGAAAGGAGGGGGTGGCAGGAGGAGTAATCAGGGGACGAAGAGGACGCGAAAGAAGAGAGGATGTAAGGATACTGTGGAGAAAGAGGAGGAGGAGGAGGAGGAGGAGGAGGAGGAGGAGGAGGAGGAGGAGGAGGAGGAGGAGAGGAGGAGGAGGAGGAGGAGGAGGAGGAGGAGGAGGAGGAGAGGAGGAGGAGGAGCAGGAGGGGGAGGAGGGGGGGAGGAGGAGGAGGAGGAGGAGGGAGGAGGAGGAGGAGGAGGAGGAGGAGGAGGAGGAGGAGGAGGAGGAGGGGAGGAGGAGGAGGAGGAGCAGCAGGAGGGGGAGGAGGGGGAGGAGGGGGAGGAGGGGGAGGAGGAGGACGAGGGGGGGAGGAGGGGGGAGGAGGAGGATGATGGACGACAGTGGAAGGACGATGATGGAGGCCGATGAGGGGGTGGACGACAATGGGAGGACGATGGTGGAAGGACGAGGGGGGGAGAAGGAGGACGAGGAAGAAGAGGAGGAGGAGGAGGACGAGGTGGAGGAGGATGACGATGACGGTGACGACGAGGACGAGGACGCAGAGGAGAGGAGAGGAGGAGGAGGAGGAGGAGGAGGAGGAGGAGGAGGAGGAGGAGGATGAGGAGGAATGTAATGGAATGCCCTATGGGGGAGTGCACAGCACTAAATAATCTCAGCTTAATTTAACTGGGATACGAATCGGGGATGAGGGAGTTAAAAAGAGGGAAACCCTCTGAAAACTCCCGAACCTATCCCCTGGACCGAGCATCTCGGGTGCTCTCCTTCACTCGAATTCGCTCTACCAAAGCATTCATTCTTTGCTCATAGGAGGGGGCCGTCTCTGTGGCCGAAAAACTCGTACGGACATTCGTGTCAGAGGTGTCATGGGGCTCGGGCGGGTCGCGGCGCAGCCGAGTAACAGGGAGAGCCTTATCAAGCAAGGCCAAAACGCGACGATTCGGGCACCGCCCTTGCCTCACCATGGAGATCACCTCTAGACCTTTACGAGTGGGGGCAACACAGGGACGGCCTAATTTCTCAAGCTTTGCTTGAGACCACCCTCCACATTTCAAACATACTATGGTTTGCTCTCGAACTTGACACACCGAGGCGCCGTCGCCAGTTTCCCGGGCCAAACCAGCAGTGGCGATGAGGGAATGTCCCTGGGGATTCGAGAGCAGCCGACTGATGTGACTAGAAACGCCTTTGCAGCCACTCATTGGGACTCCGTCTGGCGATCCTTCTGCCACCAGCAGACATCTGGTGCACTGCAAACCTAATTCACCATGCTTCCAGCAGTGCCAAAATACAGTCCGCTTTGAGCGGCCTGATCTGATCCGCACAAGTCTTTTCCACCTAACCTCATTGGGGAATAGCGGGAGGACCTCAGCGGCTAATTTCATGAAGCCCTGCGCACGGGTGGCCGCGATATTCACATCTGAGAGGAAATCCGCGTCTGGAGCAGGGTGGAGGGACAACGCTGCTTTAGCCTGCCTGTCAACAGCTGCGTTGGCCACGGCAGAAAGTCTCTCCTCGCCTTCGACCAGCGCCATTTCGTCTTCGGTCCTGTGCGCCTTCACGTGACGCACGGTGTGGATCAAAGGCGTTCCCTCCAAACCCTGCGCAAAAAGTCTAATGCCAGCAAATTTGTTTCCTGCCGCTAGCTGCCTCGACACGTCTTGTTGGGTGACTCGGATGGCGGCCTTGCAATCTGAACCTAACTCGGCGGGCCCACTGGCCACTTGGTCGCACAGTGCGATGCCTACGTGTTCCGCCATGGCGGGAGTCTGCGGGAGCATGCCAGGCACCAATCCGCGCAGAAAAGCTACGGGATCTTCCCCGATGTCGGGGAGGACTCCGATGGACCAGGAAGCTCTCTCCAACGGCCTCAACAACGGTTTGCCTCCTGATCCATCCGAGGCCAGTCGGAGCGGCACATTCGTTGTGAGAGTGGCAATCTGCTCAGGGGTTAAATCTAGTGCGTTGCCGTGCTGATCCAAGACGTCAACCTCGTACGAAACCAACGGGCACGGCAGCGCACTGTCCTGGTACGTGAAAATGCCAGTGGTGAGAATCAGATTTTCGGGCTCCGCTCGGGCCGCTGCCAGGAACTCGGGAGAGACCTCGGCGGCCTGACGGGCCTCTGCAACATTTGGTAACTGACAGCAGTCGAGCCTGTGGTGGATTGTGTCCCTTTCACCACACTCGCACAGCCCGTCACACAAGTACCCCGCCCTCTCAGCACGATCTTTGGTCCACAATCCTAGGCATCCGCAGCTCTTTATTAGATACTTCTGATACCTGCTCAGGCGCTTGGCTTTCGGAGACACAGCTTTTCTCACAAAGTCCAGCGTGGCACGCGCCCCAGGGTCGAAGCCCAGCTTTGGGGCCAACCGAAACTCGCGCTGCCTTTGAACTCCTAGCTCAAGCATGTCTTTTAAAAGTGACGGCGGGGTCTGCGTTAAATCAACATCGTGGCCATTGTGGTCCACCCATTTTAAGGGGCCACGGTACTTCCAGCCCGCGCGGGCCAAACTCAAACAAGCACGGGAAATCGGGCCCCTGGACTCTTGTCAAGTTTTACAACTGGCGGGCTGACATAATTCCCAGAGGTGCACGAGCTCAGCCATCTTTACAAGGGCGTGCTCTGGGCGAGTCGCAGCTGACCACGCCATCCTGCACCATTGGATTGCGGGCGCCACAGCGAATCTCGTGCTACTATCACCGTTTTAAACTACCTTAAATGAAAGTGAAACTCCGCCGTGCGAGGGAGCATCTGAGCTACTCATCAAACGCTGGTGTGCTAGCCACTCAGACTCGGAAAGTCCCTGGATCTCAACTCCAAAACTGCTCGCAGGGGCCACGCCCTGGCGATTTACCTTCCTGAATGGGATCTCCTTGGGGCCTTTGAACCCTTCCCTCATGGCTCGCACCTTTCGGATCCTTTTTCTCATCGCAACAAACCTCGACTGCTGCTTCAGTCGCACTCGTTGTCGTCGCCGAACTGCGCCAGCAGACTCGTCCACACCCAGGTAGGACACACTGGGCTTGATCACCGACCTCGGAAGCTCGAGCTCGTCACACACGGCTGCAGCCAATGCCTGGTGCGTCGAGATGATCGCGAGCTTCTCATCGTTCAGGGTGGCGTTGATCTGCCTGCTGGCCTCGAAGAAATTCTGGATGCCCTCCACAGCCGTACCTTTCGCTATGTCGAAATCAGAAGAAGAATTGTGAAGGCCTGAATCGTCAATGTAGTTCTGGAGATCTATCGTCGGCGACTTCGTTATCATCATGTCAAAAGCGTCCACAGTATTGACTTTGACGGCTAGGTCAGCGTAAGCATCGCCTGCTGGTCGCCCAAGCCGAGCACAAATAACTTCATCTGAGTGATGTCGGCCAAGTCTGATCACTCCGGGGCTCAGCCACATATTGAATACCAGTTTGAGCCAGCACGTGGGCGCTCCATGCCGAAGAAACTTCATCTTCAGACCTTCCAGGGGGATGGTCTCGTAGTACTTAGACCAGTCAGCAATGAAAACAATACCATATCTGTGCGTCATCTGATCAGATTCTGAACGCACTGCTTGAGCCCATGCGCAGTCTATCGCCGATCGTCCTTTGCATGCGCCCCAGTATCCTCGATCCAGCGTGTCATGCATGCTCTGAACGATGGCGCGCCGAGCCCTCTGCCAACTCCTGTACATACCCGCATGCAGAATGATCAGGCGGTTGCCTCCACTGGGCTTGCCCAACAGCGGCATCTGTATCCAGCACAGCTGCTTCGGCAAGGCCCCTATGGCCTCTGCCGCTTCCAGATGGAAGCTAGCACCTCTAATCCTTCGTCGTCCAGCATCGCCGCGCGCCTCGGGTGGAAATTGTCTAGGCTTGCCGAAGTCGTAGCTGGAAGTGACTTCGAGATCCGACGTATTTGACCTGGTTCAAGTCGTGGGCAGCTGCTCCTGTCTGGGATCCACGCTGCCGCTGCTTCACTGCTGGCGCCCCGCAGCTTTCTGTAGAGGGCCACCTCCTGCTTCACTATCACCACGGGATCCCCAGATGGTATACCAATGGCAGAAGCTGGTGCGGGGGCAGCTCGGACTTTGGTAGTGCGGTGTAGAGGTCGAGCACCTCCACTCGCAGCAATGCGGCACCATTCTGTCCACGACTCATTCGCATCTTTTACCTGACCTTTCTTTGCCAGCTCTACGTCATCGTCGATCTCGTCCAGGAAGGTTTGTATACGTTGCAAGTCGAGTGGTATCTGATTGATCTCCTGGCGACCTTGAGTGACCGCACTATCCAATCGTCCACTTCGGCCTGCTCCTGGGTACGGTGTCGACATGAATTGAGCTATCTCTTCTGAACATTCTGCCATCTTATCTGGTTTAGAGAATAACTGCTGGATGGTGACCAAACCTTCTCTGAGCCACTGCCAACCTTTGCCAATCGCCTGGATGTCCGACTCTACGTTCATGGGGTATTCAGCGTTGACCCAACGAGGTGCCAGGTTCTTGCCGTACGCCCCGCTGTTCTTGAGCTCGGTGCACGTGTTGGCAGCAATGTATTCAGCAACAGTAACTGCAAACTTTCCATATACTCTGGTGAGATTGGCCCAAGCGACAGCAGCATCACTCGTGGGGTCTTGGGCCAAACGTACTGCTTCATCAGCCAAGGCTGCAAGAACTGTCCAGTCAATCGGCTTCGCGGCCCAGCAGGCAATGCAACGGGAAGCCTCTGCGTGACAGTGTAGACGCAGTGCTGGATCGCGTACCCATTGTCTGCTATCTTTAGTTGGACTGGCAGATGAGCTTTCTTGTGCCAACTACTTTGAACCTGCACTCCTCGAAACCCTCGTTGAGCTGCATTGTTGAGGCAGAAAAAATCTATCGTAGAACAGCCGGTACCACCTCGGAATGTGACTTGGCCAGGCATCGCTATCACCGCCGAGGCCAGTCGTGGAAACTCTGAGTCCTCTAAGTCCTGGCCCGTCATGTTCCAGTCACCTCCCATGATGCATGGCGTAGCCGTTCGCGCCAAGATTCGACCAGCAACTGCAAGGACTTCAGTGTTCTCGCCAGTCGCGCCGATCGAGTCCTTCAAGTAAACGTTCAACAGAGACAGGCTGGGCCACCCTGGCAGGTCGACCAAAACGTGCTGAAGGCGATGGTCGTATACCAGTTGACCGCCGTCTGGGTGTCGCAGCCCAAGATCAGCTCGAGCCAGAATTGCAGTACCGCCTGACGGGACCATGCCACTCGTCGGGCGAGCTGGTATAGCAGCAACTTTCCAACCTCGATTGCCTGCCCAGCTGCGCAGCGACTCGATCAAGGGCTCCGTGAAGCCTGTCTCCTGGATCAGTACGATGTGCGCCGTGGTGCGCTGAATCATCTGCTTGAATGTCTTTCGCCCTCCGCTTGCATTGAACGTCGCGAAGGTGTAGGTGCCCTGCGTGGGCGGTGTCGGCGGCAGCTTCACCACTCCTTGCTGCAGCCTGAGTCCTGATACTAGCAGGTTGCCCGAGTCGTGGCTTCTTTCCGAACTCTCGAAGCTTGGCAGCAAACTCCTCGAAGCTACCGTCCTTGCCAAGGGTGTAAAGGGCCTGCTGCTCAGCCTCGTCGAAGTCGCGCTTGATCCCGCCACCTTCAGTAGATCCAGCTGGGTCTGCGGGCGCACGAGAGTCATCATGCTTATCAGCATCACCCATGTGCACATCAGGAGCCGCAGGTATCTTGGCCGACAGGTGCTCGCGCAACTTCGCCCAGGACGGTGAGCTGAGGAACTTCTTGAGCTCTTCATCATCGAGCTCTTCCTCCCGCACGTTGAGGAAGTCCGCTGGGTTCTGCTGCTCGGGGGCCTTGCCGCCAACGCTAGCGGCGTGGGTGCGCACCTCCGCCTGCAGCGCGACGACCTCGGTCTTCTTGGACTCCAGCTGAAGGCGCTTCTCGGCGATGCTCTCCTGCAAGCGCGCCAGCTGATCCTCCTTCTCACTGATCTCTTTCGTGAGCCTCTCGCAGGACGCCTGCGCCTTGTAGAGGTCCTGAGTTGCGCGGCGATGCGCCACGGCGGGAGGCCGTAGCTGCTTCTGCTCTTGCTTGATCGCGTCGATCTTGGTCAGCATAGTCTTCCGTAGCTCATCACCTGACTCGCCTTGTGGGAGCGTCTTGAGCGACGCCTCGAAGCAGGCGAGCTGAGCGGCAAGCTTGGCTCGTTTATCTTCTTCTTTGTCATCAGCTTGAGGCTCCGTGGCGGCCGAAGGGTCAGCTTTCGGTACTCTCTGCCACGGCGCCTTCTCCTTCTCTTTTGCATCGGGTCGCCCACCGCGCAGCAGCTTCTCGATCTCCCCCAAGCGCTTGGAGAGCTCGAGGTCTTGCTTCGAACGGCCTGCTGCGCCTCCGCCACCTGCTGACCCAGGCGACTTGGCATCCCATATCTTCTGGTTGTCCCACGCCGACTTGCGGATTCGGGCGGGTGCGTCGTTGCCGCTGGTGCACTTGATCCTGCACGCCCAGTTGCTGCTCGCCCCGCAGCGGCCGCACGCCCACATCGGGCGGCGCGGGCCGCGCAGCACGCTGGGCTGCGGCGGCTGCGGCACCATGAGACGGAGGACTGTCGGGTGGCGGCGGGCTGCCTGCCACCGACGGGAATCGTGAAATCGGATGTCGGGCTGAACAGCCCTGGCACTGCTGCGGAATAGCAGCTTCCAGTCTGGCACGGAGGCGCGGAGCCCCCAAGTGCAAGCATCTTGAGCCAAAATGGCTACGGAGGAGGAGGAGGAGGTGGAGGAGGAGGAGGAGGAGGAGGAGGAGAGCGCCATCGACAGGGAAGGTGGGGGCCACGAGGTCCGCCGGCTCGACGACGCCCGCGTCGCCCGCGCCCGCCCCCTCACTCTTATCCGCAATTGCGGGGTGCTGCGTACGAGTGCGCCGCTTCCTGCCTGTCCGGGCTGGAGCGTGCGCGGGCTCCTCGAACCTCTGGAGGGACCATGCCGCGTACCGCGGGATGCCGTGTTCCTCCAATAGGGCGCGCAGCGATCACGTCCACGAGGGGGCTGTCTGAGCCGCGATGCGCGCGACCTGGCAAGGCTGGAACCTCGGCGCGGTAGACTCGATCCTGGCCGCTAGTGCCGCCGCTGCTCTGAGGGTCTGAGTGGAGAGCCGCTGCGGGAAGACGAGCTCCCGGAGAAGGGCTCTCGGCAGGGGGGTGTCGATGTCCAGGAGGCGGCTGGCCCATCGGTCTTGAACGGCATTCAGGCGCGTCTCCCAGTCGTGGCCGACGAAAAGGAGGTCGCTGCCCAGTACGCCTGCGGCCGGATCTGGCGTCCAGCGCGCGGAAGGCCACCGTCATGGACACCCCGAGGAGCTCCAGGGCCGTGAAGATGGACATCCAACCTCGCATTGCGGTGTGCTCGACGTGCTGCATGAACGCCGCCATGCGGGAGGGCGGGTCTGGAAGTCATCCGCCGGCACTCCGTCTTGCCCGACCCGTACCGGATCTCTGCGCGGAGGCTGCCCGCCTTGGCCTGAAGCGCTCGCGCGCCCACGACCTGGGCTCCCCATGAGGAGGATCGGAGGGCATTGTCATCCATGAGCTGCGCAAGGCCGAGCTTCGTGGGGGCCGCAGCGTCGACGATCCAGAGCCGATCGGCGTCAGAAGTGGCTTCGGTCATGACCTGGTTCCAGCTCTCCAGCCTCGCTGTTGCCGCTCTCGCCGCCTCCTCGGCCGCCGCGCGGCAGGGCTCGGCTGCGTCGCCCGTGCCCCGGCGGCACCAATGAAATGCTCGCATATCCTCCTCCGGCGGGTCAAGTCCCACGCCAAGATGGACCGCCGCGGTGGCGATGGAAAAGCGCCTGGCAGAGCACGCGAAGAAGACCAGTGCGAGCCGCCTCCCCTCAGGCATGCCTGTGGTGAGAGGCACGGGTGCAGGGGTGACGTGGCCGGACGTGACGCCGATGGACCAGTCGTGGACCATAGTTGCGGCCGTTGTCAGGTCCTCGCCCTCCACGCCGGCCGTGTCGCGGAGGTCGAGGATGACAGCCAGGGGGGTCACGGGGTGTCAAAGGCGCCCCTGAAGTCCATGAAGTACTCCCCGAAAGGGGAGGCTCTGGCCCTGCCTCACGATGCGCACGTCGATGGCGACGCAAGCTGCGACGGGCGCGTCCCCTCGGCCAAGCTGGTGCTCCCCCGCCCCGAGCCACGAGCTCTCCTCCGCCGCGAGGGCCTAGAATTCTTTCTTCAATCTGCAGTTCTGGAGTGTTGATGCTGAGCGTTCTGTAGCTAGGGAACACCCCAGACGATCTTCTGGGTTTGCGCTTCTGGAGCGTGGGCTGCAGCTGCCACCGGCGGGGGACGACCCTGAGAACTCTGGCCATGTTCTGCGCTGCAAATAGAAAGGTGGGGCGTGCCTGGGCGAGCAGTTTCACGCTCGCGTACGGGAGCCCAGCACTGACGCGGTCGGTTTTGACTCTGTCGGTGGCGCCTTGGAGCTACTCCGCGGTGTAGGTGGCCGCTGTCTCACTGGTCCCGCCCAAACTGGCGATTCTCCAGGAGGACTGCGGCGCACCAGCCCGCCGTCGCCCGGAGCTCCTCGGCGTTCACTCCCAGCTCCGATGATAACGTCGTCGCCGCGGAGCATGGTGGCCGGCTCCGTCGGGCTCCTCATCCTCCTCCTCTTCCTCCTCCCTCCTCCTGCTTCTCCTCCCCCCTCCCTCCCTCCCTCCTCACTCCTCCCTCCTCCCTCCTCCCTCCTCGTCTTCCTCTTCCTCCTCCTCCTCCTCCTCTTCCTCTTCCTCATCCTCCTCCTCCTCTTCCTCCCCCATCTTTCGTCCTTATGAGGAGCTCTTCCTGTCGCACCTCCAGATGTGTCGGTAGGGAGGGCCAGGCGTCTCGCCTGAGACATCATCAGCATGTATGCTCCTGAAGCTTGAAAATTGCAGCAGTTTCAAAAGGTGGTTTTCGCTTTAGCACCGCGCACTTTCGTACTAAACACTCGGAGTAATTGCGCTGATGAAGGACAATTCCCTTTCAACATGTGGCTCTCGCCTTATGGCCGCGCACATTCGTTCTAAGAATTTGAAGCAGCTTCACGGATGGGCGTGTCGTTTGCAAAATGTGGCTCCCGTCTTCTTGCAGCGCACATTCGTCTTACAATTCTGCAACAGCTTCAGTGATGGAGGGCGGTTCCTTTTCAAACGCTGTTCTCGCCTCAGCGCCGCGTGCAATCGTTTTGAAAGTTGCAGCAGTTTCAAGGGTTCATGTGGCTGAAATCACAGAAATGGTGTTCCGGCGCGGTTCAGATTGTCAGGGTCCAGCGGTTGAATTGAGTCGAAGTGTTGAAGTCGCAGGGATGGTGCCCTGGCACGAAATAGGAGTGCCAGGATGCAACAGTCATGTGGATCCGCGGCGTTGAAGTCCCAGGAGTGGCACTTTGGCATGATTGAGGATTCTCAGACGCTTGTCTTTTCGTGGGCCGCTTCATGGAATGAGCATCTATCCTTGCAGGGACCCATGAAAAACGGAACTTGGAAGGAGGGTGTCTTGCCACATCGTTGATGCGTCTTGGCTTTGCACTGGTCCTCATCCTCGTCCTCGTCCTCCTCCTTCTCCTCCTTCTCCTCCTCCTCCTCCTCCACCTCCTCTCCCCTCCTTCCTCCTCTTGCTCCTCCCCCCAGGCGGGAACGCTGTCCTTCGAGGCAATTGGGCGCCGCGCGCGACGGCCCGTCGCCGCCAGCCCTACTTCTTCTCCGACATCATGCCAGACTGCAGGAGCATCGCTTCGGTGAATTCCTCGTAAGGGGTTCGGGGCTGGGCGATGGGGGTGTAAGGATGATGCTGAAGAAGAGAACATGACGATGCTACTGCTGATGGTCATGACGAGTCGGAATCGGAAGATAATTGTGAGTATGGCAATGGTGATGATGAGGATGAAAATGATTCTGATGATGGTGGTGGTGACGATGTGGCGGTGATAGGGACGTTGGGGACGAGGATTATCATGACGATGATGACCACGACTCCAGCTCCAGCGCACAGCTGGGCGCACAACAGGCAAGCGATTGGTGAGAGGCGAACGGCACATTAGCCCATGATGGAGCGAAAATAGAACAATCGCGGTTGGTAGTCGCGTCCAGCCGCCCGCATGCGGAAACACATTGAATCTCAGGCCAGACCATCGAGGGCCTCCTACGAATAAACCTGCTCTTCCAGGACCACTTCTGGCGATGACGCAGGCGGGACAGGACGGACGAGGAGGCGCGGGCGAAACTGAGGTCCGCAGTCTCGTCGCAATCTAAGAGGGCCGTGTCCGAACACGCCGCCTGTATCCACGATGGCACTGGCTCAGCGTGGCACTGCATGCGCAGCGGCGGCCCTGGCCAAGGCTACGTTGCGCACAAAACGGATGACGACAGGGCGAAGACGACGAAATTCCGTCCGAGGCGAAGATGCCCGAGCCCTCGTCCTCCCTGTGCTCCTCCGCGGGCGGGGCGGCCATGTTCAGAAGCGCGCCCGCGCGCACATCCAGGGCCAAAAAGTCCAGCAACCCGACCGGCCAATCCGGCGCCGAACGCGGAGTCCGTGGTCCCCGCCGCCCTTTCGATCCCCCCTGGTTCCCGAACAGGGGAGTAGCGGGTCGGCGGATAAGCCGACGTACTTTCCCAGGTAGGGCCAGAGGCAAAGCCATCTTTCGAGGGAGGCCGAAAACCGCTTTCCCGAACCCGATGGACATGGAACGGAACAGCACGAAAATGACGCCCGCGTCTGTTGCGTGCGGCCAGGAAATCTCCACGAACTGCACATTGTAGCTTGACGTGCGCACGCATCGGCTCAAGCCGTTACCCCGTTATTGCCATGCGTTGCGTTTGTCGTCGTCGAACTCAGGAACAACCGTCGTGCCCGCCCTTTCCCTGGGTAGAAGCGATGCTGTCAAATGGCGGCAACTCGCGGAATACATCACCAAGAACTTGTGGCAAATGTGCGGCATCTCGTTGAACAGCTGCGCGTGAGAACCACGCGAACGACTGCTCTGCGACCTGCGTGTTGACACCTTTGAGGCGGCGGCTCGTCGTCTAGAACCTGTACGGGTTGCACGGGCAAGCGTTCGTGTGCTCGGTCGCGTGCGTCCAATCCACGCTCCAACACTTGATCTTTTCGTAGCTGGCGAGCTTCTGGGCCTACGCGCAGAAAGAGCAGCATCTGTCGCAGATGCATTCGTTGACGTTGGGGTACTTCTTCAAGGCGCGCGTGAAAGCCTCTGCCGCGACACCGTTGCCCTTGGGGTTCTGTTGCTCGATAGCGGCCACGATGCGCCCCTCTGGCGTGAGAGCAATGTACAAACCGTGATTGTTGTGATCGTGGCGGGACGGCTTCTTCCCGTTGTACAAAGCTTTTTGGCTGATCGCACCGGTGTGCGGCTTGTTGCCCTTCGCCGCGGCGAGCGGTTTCTTGGGCACCAAGGGCAATTTACTCAGAACCGCGGGCGGGTTCCTCACCGCCGCTGCCATCGCCCTCGTCGTGCACCTCGCGCGGGGGATGTTCTTCTTGAGGGGATTATTTCGGGCTTTTTTCGTCGCCCCCTTCATCGCCTCATTCGTTTCGTTTAGGCGTTGCGCCCAGAACCTGAAGGAACTGCGCCGAACGAGCGTCGCACCGTGCACTGCGTGACGGCGCTTCCAGAGCAGATGGGCGTTGCGCCCAGGGATGATCGCTGCGCCCGATACGGGCGTTGCGCCCAGAACCGATGGGCCTTGTGTCCAAGGAGACAGCCATTGCGCGCGATGTGGACGTTGCGCCCAGACCCCGCTGGGCTTTGCGCCCGGCGAAGGAGACATTGCGCCCGAGGAGGCGGGAGAGGGGGATGAGGAGGGGGGAAAGGGGGGAGGCGAACGACGGGGGAGGGGGGGCATGCAGGACGAGGAGGGGAACATAAAAAACAGGGGGAAATCAGAGTGAGGGGAGAGATCATGAGAGGAGGCTGGGGTGGGGGTGGAGCAGGAATACGAAAGACGATGGGGAAGAGAACAAGGGAGAACAAATGGAGGACGGAACGAAAAGAAGGACTGAGAAAGAGAGAGAGAGAGAGAGAGAAAGAGAGAGAGAGATAAAAAGAGAGAGAGAGAAAAGAGAGAGAGAGAGAGACAGAGAAAGAGAGAGAGAGAGAGAGAGAGAGCGAACGAGAGGGGAAACAGACAGACAGACAGACATGGATCGGGCCCAACATGTCGTCAACTGACGATGCTTGCTACACATGCTACAAGTTGCATAGTATACTGGCAGTGGCGTCAGTCTAGCTCTGGGCCTATCGGGGGCGAGCCCCTTCTCATGCAAGTGCGTGCGCGCCAGCGAGCGCTGTGGCACTGCGGGCGCCCAACTCCCGCGCTCTGTCGGGCTGGGGGCCTACGTGCACTCGGACGCTGACTTGATTGTCAGTTCTGCAACTTTTGGCTTGGCCACGGCCGCGACCTCTACCGCGCTGTGGGCGAGGTGGCGGGTTCGGGCGAGGCGTCAGCAACCGATTATCGATAGAAGCCTGAAAGACTGGAACTGAATGGCTAGGCGATGCTTGCAGCAATAAGCCCAATGCTGCTCATTCTGCGTATCTTGCGCTGGCTCTAAAGGCTGGCGGCGCTGAGTTCGTTGCCGTCTGACAGCGCCCCGTGCTGCTCATGCTTGCCTTCGCTAGTCCAACCCGTTCCTGAACTCGGTCCCCGACCAATTCAAGATCATGTGGATCAGGTAGGTCGGATTGAGTCGCCCTCCCCTGGCTTCTGGCTCTCGCGCCGCCCGCGGCAACGCAAGCGGCCCCAGGAACCAAAACTTGATGTCCACTCACTCGCCCTTGTTCTTGGGGTAGACGAGGCGCTGCAGCTCCCGTTGCATCGGCCCCCCGGGGGCGCCTCCCAGCCTGCGATGCACGCCCTCCTTTGTGATTTCCTTGAGCAGTATTTCCCGCGCGAACTTCATGTTTGGCGCGTGCAAGTCGATAGAAAAGATCTGCCGCGCTTTCTCCTTCTTCTGACTGACCTGTTTGTTGACTCTGGCCTGGGAGTGGGCGACGCGCGCCCCGAGCATCTCGGGGTCCTGACCACGTTCTTCAAGAACTCCAAGAACTCTTCGAAGACAACTTACTCTGCTGCGCTCAAGACCTCCGGCATGCCCTTGATCGCGGCGGCGACCGACGATGACTATTTGTAGTGGCCCCAGCGCTGCCAGGTCGACGCTGGGGTCGGTGGCCTGGTCCTCCTCGAGCTTCTCGGCGTCCAAGTCGCGCTGCTTTCCCGCGGTCGTGGCGAAGGCGGCCAGCTTCTGGTCGGCGCCGAGCTCCCGGCACTCGTGGTACGTGGCCTGCAAGTCTTGTGCCTCCTTGGCTACCTGCATCGTCTCGAGCCTGTCCATGTCCTTGCTGCTCTTGCCCTTGCCCTTGTTCTCCTTCGTCGGTGGGGCGTCCCTCGCGCTCGTCTCCAGCGCGCGCTTGCCGGCCTCCTTGGGTGCCATGTCGAAGTCGTCGATCGCGGCTGCGCGCTCTCCGGGCGCGGTGACCGCCTGCTGGTGTCGGGGTCGCTGGCGCGCTCGCCCGTAGGTGAGGCTGGCTGCAAAGTAGGCCTCGGGAAAATGACTACGGAGGTGCTCGTCGAACTGTTGCTTGTCGGTGTCGGCGTGTCCACGCGACAAGAATTTTGGGGTGAATGGTTCGGCCTGCCTCATGTTGTCGGTTCTGTCCGACGGGCGCTGTCCCTTGAGAAATGCTCGCGGCAAAGGTCGGTGCTCCGTGCTCCAAAGATTGTGCCAGAGTTTACACATTCGTTAACAGGGGTATATCGTGAGGCGACGTTGCTGAGCTTGTGCTTGCTTCGCATGTGGGCCATCGTTGTCTCGCGAGTGCTCGAACAAATCCCACAAATGCCCCCGTTGCCCACGTCATATCCCCGGCATGTCCGTACTCGATTCACGCCGCCCGTGGCAACATAAGCTGCCTCGGGAACCAAATTGATGTCCACTCAATCGCCCATGTTCTTGGGATAGACCGCCCGTCACAGGCGCGCTCGTCGGCGCAAGATCCAGAATCTCACACATCCATGGAGCGATCTTTGATATTGCGGCCCCCTCCTCTGCTGTCTGCTGCTGCTGCTGTAGCTCCTGGGCACTGGAGTTCGGGGGGGGGGGGGGGGATGGCGCGGGCGCGATAAGCCTGCCGGAGCTACTTGGGGCCCAAGACTCTGAAGGCATCCTGAAAAGCGGGCTCGACAAAACTGCCAGGTTGGATGTCGAAGTCATTGAAATTATGAGCAAACGTGTCCGCGCGGCAGGTCTCATCGAGATCCTGAATGATTCTGCCCGCCCAAGAATTGCGCCGTGGGTGGAGCGTGTCGCCATCGCACGCAGCCGGCTCACGCTCAATGGCCAACTGTCCGAAGATGGCCGTAAGTGGTTGTTGGTGTCGTGTTGTGTCAAGGAATGCGTTGTTTATCCAAGTGAGCCGTCGCACGGTCGCTCCCATGTGTAGTGGTCGTATTCGCAAATGACGTAACACTTCATAACTAGTTAGACTTCGGGTCCGTCCGTCTGGTAGGTGGGTGGTTGCTCGCCCCTGCGCTGCTTTCCTGGCGAGCCCCGCCGCCGTCATAGCCAGAGCCCGATATTCTGCTTTACTGGGTAGGAAACTCTCCACGCAACTGAATCCCACATTTACCATTTTACACAGCATCACCGGCCGTTTGCACTTGAATGGTATGCCCGCCCTGTGCCAAATTCCCCCCCATCTCTTTGTAAATCCTAATCATGGCATGTGC